CTGTAGCATTGCCAGCTGAACACCTGTCATTGGCACCCTTGCAATGAAACCACCAGCATGTCGCTCATGCAGGCTATCAGCAGGAATTGCATCTTGTATCCCCACAATGAAGCCAAGCTTTCCTGTGAGACTGCCAGCTACAGAGTTGCTTCCACTCCCCCTTACTTCCCCCTGTGGGAACAGAAGTAGGGGTAAGCAGCTCTTCAGCTGTTGTTCTCTGGCAGGAAGTGGTTCTTTTAGATACAGGCCTCAAACTTCTGCTTCCCTTTTCCCTCAACTTTGCCTGCCATCCACGGCTGTCAAGAAAAAAAAGGGTAGGAAAGGACTGAGGAGAATGGCTTCCTTTGCTTCCATTTCTCCAGTCCCACAGTGATTTACTCTGGAGAACTGATAGCAGAAGACCTGCTTCTCTGCTTCTTCCCATAGCAAGAAAATAAGTGAGGGGCAAAGGAGGAAGGACTCTCTTCTTCCTCTCATCTCTCTTGTCCTGGGACAGGAAGGAGCAGCAGACATTCCACAGAGCAAACACTCCCGGGGATCAGAGAACTGACTGACAGCAGAAAACCTATGGATCTCTTGCTACCAGTTAGTGACACCAAAGCTGATAATCCATAATCCATCTCTATCTCTTTCCACCTCACACTTTTGGTGCAGACAGATTTCCTACCATACTTTGGGTCCAAGGCAGACAGGAATTGAAGGTGTAAGTCAATCCTTTTGAAACTGCCATAAATTTCTGCTGATTCCAACAATGGACTAACACACACACAAAAAAAACTTTTGTGGTTTTGAATCAATCAATCAAGAACATTCAAGTCTGTATATTTTAGATGTCAGCTTTGGAAGCCATATTAACCTCGGAAGCGTCCACGCTGCCACCTTCTTGCACTTGGGAAAGTAGGAGGGGGGATTTGATAAAGCAATTTTTGTTAGACATAATAGCATTCTTCTTTTCGGTCAAGGTCAGGGTGCTCCTGCATCTGGAGGAGGAGTGGTTGCAGAGGTGTCTCAAGTTGGGACGGATGGTGATTGGGCCATGTGATGGACTGATGGGTGCAGGGGCTGGATATGGGGTTTTGATTTATTGAGGGAAAACCCGGAACTCTCAGATTCGGGTTTCCCCAGATGTGCAGGTATACCTATTCCAATAAATGAAGATTTTGCGATGAAGATTGTCTTGGAGTTTTTAATTGGAGTTGGGTTGTTCTGGAATGCTGACATTAGAACTGCCAGCATAAAAGTACAGAATCTCCTATTACTATTGCTTGTTGCTTCTCCTTTGGGACAGAAGCACGAATCTTTCCCTTTGGATGACCTGTAGGGCCTTCGTCTTCAGTCCCTGGACCTGGACAGCTGCTGTTTCTGAAACATTAATAGTTGGGCTCAGAAATCTGTTATCAAAATCCCAAGTATAGGAGGTTTGCTTGACCGATGTGTTTCACTGTTCCATCTCATCTGTCTGGCTTTCCTCTATCTTCTCAGAAATTGTTCTTTTTCCACTTCCTAAGTACCTCTTGCATCCGATTCAAGAATTCCTCACTTCTCCCAAATCCTGAAAGTTAGGTTATTTGGTGTCTAGCCTCTTCACTTTCTCTTCCAAGAAAGCTCTCTATCTTTGGGGAAGAAAACAGAGCAAATCCCTGTAGGTCACGAGAACCGTCCTATGCATCTTCTTGATCATCTGATGAACCACCAAGAACAATAATAAAGTATTCCCCTGTCATATTCCTATATATTTTTTCTTTTTGTTTATTCAGTGAGATTGATCTCTGGGCAGCCGTCTTCCTTATAGAGTATGTACCCTGAAGATGGCTCAACTAGATCAATAGCAAGCAATGCTCTAATTACACACAATGGGCAATCAGCAGCCACTCAGGAAGCAGCAGCATCAGTCAGCCAGTAGCCTCTTTCTCCCCTTGGCTCTTCTCTCGGTATCTTTTCTCTCTCTAGTTGAATTCCTCTGCTAAATCTTGCTTGGTCAATCGTTGAGCTTCAAATGCTTTAACATTTATATTGATTCCTTTGCCAGAAATAGACTTATGTTTAAATCACCTATTTGAAGCAGACCTTTTACTAAGCAGATATTCTACTCATCACCATTCTTACTCAGTCTTGGATCTCAGAATGGCACCATCACGTTTTCACTACTTTTTCATCTTTTTCTCACCTGTCCACTGATGTCACTGAACAGAATTATTTCCCCCCCGAAGTGTATTAATTCAGAATGTCCATAATTTTCCCTACATTCATCCCTGAGTCTCCCATTATCACCATTCACTGGAGTGTAGCGTACAATTACCGTAGTCCATCCTTTTCTACTTTATACTTTCTCACATATATTTTAGCCCTCTCATTCAAAACACTCTACTACATGACCAAGCTACTTTCATTCAGTTCTGTTATTTCTTCACCATTTTCTTCTTTTCTCAGACCCGTAACACATTTTTCATCCAAAATTCTTATGGTCTTTGCCTTTTATTTCTCTCATAAGCCGCAATCTTTTATATGCCTGGTCATCACCATAGGCATTGAACACCATTACCTAGAGTCAACTGAGGCGTTGATATAACATTTTTTATCAATGCAGAAAAGATGTAGACTAGATCGCCAGCCTTATCGCATCCCTGCTGCATGCAGTATTTCCTGCCAACAGGAAGGATCATCTGTTCTGAAACATTTTGGCTAGTATGCCATAGTACAACCAAAGCTGATTTTAACCCAGGCAAGCTCATGCAATGATACTAGGCAAGTAAAGCTAGAATCTCCATAGAATACCTTGCAAGTTGCAAGTCAAGTGGCATAAAGTGATTAAAATAGAGCTGGGTATGCATGAATAAAAGGGATGCAGTGGCTAAGAAGCTGAGCTTGTCAATCAAAAGGTCAGCAGTTCAGTGGTTCGAATCCCTAGTGCCACGTAATGGGGTGAGCTCCCATTACTTGTCCCAGCTTCTGCTAACCTAGCAGTTCGAAAGCACGTAAAAAATGCAAGTAGAATAACAGGGACCACCTTTGGTGGGAAGGTAACAGCATTCCGTGCACTTTTGGCGTTGAGTCATGCCAGCCACATGACCATGGAGACGTCTTTGGACAGCGCTGGCTCTTCGGCTTTGAAACGGAGATAAGCACTGCCCCATAGAGTCGGGAATGACTAGCACATATGTGCAAGGGGAACCTTTATCTCTATGCATGAATAAACTGTTGCCTCTCTTTCACCAGTTCATAACTACATGTAGTGTACTGACAATAGTTTTCAAGATAACCACCTTCTGCCAACAACCAAAGTATTCTATTCACTTAATAATTAATATGTGTAAGAAATAGAATTTAATTCTGTACAATAAGAATAGAATCAGTTCAGTCATGAAGGGAAATGCTATTTGGAGTTGATTCCGATTCTTATTTGATTCAAGAAAGGGGACAGGTAGTTTTCCTGATAATAATACAAAGATGATTTGTCATTGCCTTCTTAACTTACTAGCCAGAAATACAGCCCTCTGATTTCCTGATACTCTGCCATCCAAACACTAATAAGATCCATTCTACTTAATGTTTTTAAGAGATCAAAAAATTTAAGCTAGATAATGCCATTTGTTATGCTATTAGAGAAAATGCAGAAGTGTCCATTGGCCAAGGTCAGATTATAGCTTTAGTTTTATGTAAAACACCAAAGTATTACAGCTGAAGTGGGCAGGAAACAGACTGGGACTTATGATTTGCTGTAGCTCAACCAGTGTTGTTGACTTGATGATTGTTTTAACAACTGAAAAAAAAAACATTGTTTTTGTCTTCAGCAAATAGGACTGCTGAAATGGAAAACACTTGCTCTAACTAGGAATGGACTTGATTTAAAGGACCGTGGGATTAGGTAAGACTAATTCCAAGAATAGGTTGTCCCAGATGTATTCAGTTGATGGAACTTTGGTTTGTATTAAAAAAGAACATCTAATACATCTGAAGTCTTTCCAAGACTGCTGTTTTCCCAACAGCAGCTCAAGATTGTTTTATAAACAACAGTAAAACTAAGACTTTTAAAAGTGAATTTATACCAGGGGTGAAATCCAGCAGGTTCTGACAGGTTCTGGAGAACCGGTAGCGGAAATTTTGAGCAGTTCGGAGAACTGGCAAATACCACCTCTGGCTGGCCCCAGGAGTGGGGAGGGAATGGGGATTTTGCAGTATCCTTCCCCTGCAACGCTCACCAAGGTACGCCCACCAAGTCACACCACGCCCACCAAGCCACGCCCACAGAACCGGTAGTAAAAAAATTGGATTTCACCACTGATTTATACCTAACATATAAGACATGGATAATTCCAGCAAAATGAATAACCAAGCTCTTTTGTCTTCAGTTAATCTTATTTCATAGCTAAGATAAAGGTATGGCATTCAAAGATACAGAGTTGCATTAGAAACTCTGAAGTTGTCCCAAAGTCACGTTTTGAAACATTGTAACTGGACTTTCTTAGGTTTTTTTTCTTAAAAATGTTTCACTTTTCATCTAAGAAATTTCTTCAGTTTTGGGTCAATCATGACCTGGAGAATTGAGAATCTCCATAGACAAACTCTGAAGTTGATTTGAAGAGCGATGTATGATTTCTAGTATAATTAATCCTCCAAATAATTTAGGAGAGAGATGCCATTCCAATAAGTACTTACTTTTTAAATATTTTCACAAATCATGTTTGCAACTGTTCAGCTTATGAATGGATCCATAATAGGATCTTTGAAGAAGTTCCTTTTATGTTCATGGAATTTTGCTCAAGGGAAGATGGAGTGGAGAGGATAGAAGGAAACAGTTCCAGAAACAATCACTCTTGGAAGAAAAATAGAGAATAGATTGCTCTAATTTCTTTCTGCAGATATATTTGTTTTATATATTATAGTGCATATCTTCACAGTTTTATAATTTTCTCTATGCACCTGTTCATTGTTGCTATGTAGACACAAAAACACAGGGATTAGACAACAATTGTCAGAAAAAGAGTAAAGATCCATAAAAGTGCTGATACCCAAGATAAAGCAGATTGTTATTACGAAGGAGAATCTAAAGATAGATACAATTTTAAACAGCAGCAAGGAAAGCCAAACAAACATAGACAGCTGCAAATTAGGTTAAAAAGAAAGGAGAAAAAGAATTTAAACCCTCAAAAAGTCAAGAAGAAAGAGACGGGGGAGGAGGGAGAGGGGAGAGTGAGTGAGTGGGAAAGAGAGAGAGAGAGAGAGTGGGAGAGAGAGAGACTATTCCAATGAAACCAGAGTTTTAGCAATCATGCAGGGGGGAAAAAAGAGAGAAATGAGCACAAAACATAAAACTGTTCCTAATTTTAGAGCATCTGGCTTCTACTATATATTGGCAGGGCATAAGCCTGAAAACAGATACAAGGGAAAGACAGATCTCCAGCATATTAACTATGGTTCTAATCTTAAATTAAATCAAATAAAGACCAAATAGCTAGTTGATAGTCTAATTGGAGGGGCTGTCAGATTAGAGGCTCGAGTCTATAGGTTGTTGGTACAAGATACCTACAAGACACTCTAGCAGGTAGGTCCACGGGGGTGTGGTTAAAAAAATAATAAAAACTGACTAATAAAAATGCAATGCTTTCATTAACTATTGTGGGTGCCACCTTGACATTTCTCAACATCACTTGTGGACACCTCTGGACACCAGATTCAGTATTTGGAAGCTGTTCTTAAAGAAGAAAAGGAAGTAAAAGCTGAGAGACCCCTGGGGAACCATTGCCACTTGGAGCAGACAATCCTGGTTAGTGAATAATTTGGAACCTTGTTCTCAAGAAGAACCCTCCTACTTCAGGTTATTCCCCAATTCCAGATTTGATGAAAACTTTATTTTTTCAGCTTGTATTGGAAACTAGAATACAAAACTGGTATTAGAACAAAGCTGCTCTGCCTTTGCTTTTTACTCTTAGGCCTATGATCAAATAAATCTTTTACTTTAGAATCATCTATAGTCTGATGGGGACATTGTTTAAAATATAAAACAGTTACAGAAAGTAATTGATACTCCTAGATTTAATTAACTAGAAAGATGAAATTTCCTTCTTAGCAACATATAGTAGTTTTATTAAATCAAGTAATTCCACACTTGAGAAACTGTTTCTTTCATTGATGTTTTTACAATATGTACATTTAAGAAATCTTAACTCACATTTTTAAAAAATTCAAAAACGACCACAATTTAAATGATAAAATTATAGACAACATTACTAATTGTGCAATACACAGAAATTTAAATACTGGGATTCCCTGTAATAGATCTGCAACTCTTGTTCCCCTAACGTCTACGCAAGCATGATTGCACCATACTTTTCTATTTTTAACCTTACTCTCTGATTTAAGATATTGCTTGAGGCTTAGTCATTTAAATCCATACAGAATATTCTCAACCATTTTCTTTAAAAAAAAAAAAAAACCACACAATTTCAGATGGCCAGAATGAATTTTGAAAGAAGGATCAAGTTAAGGGAAAGAGTAAAAGAAAGACAAAATGCGTACACACTCATGTTGAGGAGGTCATACAATATTCTGCTAGAAATTCCAAGGGAAAAATTAAGACGGTAAATCTACTACTAGACTGTGAAAAACAGTCTCAGAGGCATCAAGAAGTGGAGAGAGTGGCCAAGGGTAAAAGGCAGTAACCAAAGCAGTCAGACACACAGGTAAGTTGTGCAAGGTGGCTGCTCTTTATAACTGAAAGGCAGGATGGTTGATGTTCACATTCTTAAGAGTGCATCGCCAGGAGATTGTTCAGCACCTATGAATGTATTCACGCCATCTCCTTCTGTACCACAGCAATGACAAGTCAGTACTTAACAATTAACACAGTAAGAGTAGTTTCAGTATTGCCAGTACAATGCCATACTAGCGTGAGGTACCACTAGTGAACGATAAAATGGAGTTAACCTGTCCCAAAACAAGGCAGCTGCACAAGTACAGCACAAGGCTGGAAATAACTGTGGGGAGATGGACGATTTGCCCTCTGGACAGGGGTCAAGGATAAGACTAGAAACATTTTAATCCCAGCATTAAGCAGGACTGAATGAGGCCTGCTCAGGGGAGCATCATGAAGGCACAAGTGCAGTACTGGGTGGGCCCAGGGCTCCAAGTCATGGAAGACCACATACGAGAGATTCCATATGGAAAGTGGATCAGGACTTTGGGTAAGGAGCTCCAGGGCATCTGTCTTTGGATCTCTCGCTTTTACTGTGCTCTTGGCCAAAGGGCAAATTAATTCATCCTCCAAAGCTGCATTTGCCCCTCTGCGTGACAGGAGAAGGGCTTGTTAATCCCTTCCCCTAACAATTTAATCAATTGCAAGCCTAACAGCAGTTTGGGAATTGCAAATGTGAATGAGGAAGTTGCGCAAGCGAACATGATTAACTCAGCAGTGTTGCTCCAAAAATTAAAGACTTCTAACTGCTTTCCAAGACAGATGAAGATGTCGAAAGATCTGATCTCAAACCTCCCACTTCAACGTAGCTTGGTTCTCTGCTCAAGAGCTTCTAGGCTAAGGAATATGTATTTGCTTTCATGAGTACAGCTGGCAATTTGCAAATCAATCAGGACTAACGTTAATGGAATCATTTTTTTTTCCTGGAGGGGAAAGAGGACAATGTGTTACAAGAAAGGGAAGGAGAAAGAAGAAGAAAAAGGGTGGGCTTAGTTTCCCATGAAGGCTGGGAAGAGGAGATATAAACACTTTTCACACTCTATTCGATTATATCAATCCCAATTGGAGTTCCAAAACAGAAATAAAGCCAGAAACCAGTGTACTTCCATTAGCAATGGAACTATTCTTGATATTCTAGAATTTGTTATTCTCATTAAGCCAAGTTCCCAAGATAAAATTCAGAGATTGTCATCCAAGAAAAATCAATGATTGCTGCCTAAATGATAGACGTATCTGCAAATTCAAAGGGAAACTTAAAACTTGCCATCATTTCTACAGTGCCTTGGGATAACATACCAAGTCAACAGCTTACAATGGGGGTGGGGGGGGAGGGTTTGGCTAAGAGAGAAGAAGACATGTGCAGAGACGGTTGTCCTTGCAGATCAGATATAACAGCCATGGCAGCGCTCTCATTTTACCTGCCACACCTTAGCATCTTCAAATCATCATGTCCAGCGGAAGGCTGGCGCAGGCTCATCAGTAAGATGAAGCAGTGATGATGGGCTAGAGAAGGAAGTGCAGAGAGAAATACAGAAGGACCCTTTTTCCAATCATTAAGAATGTACGTATGTTTTATACATACATTCACATTTATAGTAATATAAATATTTTTTAAAAAACAAACAAACAAACAAACACCAGCAGATGAGCAGGTCAAAAACTGGGGTCAGGGCCAGCCCTGGGATATTCCATAGTCACTCCTGCCACCAACACTCTCTCATCATGAAAGAGTGGTAGCAAGACAGACAGCTCCCTAGCAGTACACGGAAGGTTTCTGCAGAGGTTCCTCTTCCGCCCGGCCTTCGAACACTTCCCTTCTGGGGTGAGAATCTGCTGCCAGCCTGAAACAACGAGCTGCACACATGCTGGTGGTGGCATGTGTTCGACTGTAAGCGAGGGCCTTCTTTTCTGAATCAGCTCATAAGCGAGTTGGTTCCTCTTCACTTTCACTGCAGTTCCCGCAACAGTCCTGGAGAATGAAGGGAGGGAGGGAGGGTGTGAAAGGGAGAAAGGGAGAGCGCACAGCAAGCACAGTGTGAGTCCACTTATTGAACAAGCAGGGAGCCACAGGATTTTATTCCCATTCCCCACAGAGAAACTCCATTACTCAGAAATATCCTTTTTGGCCCAGCCCCACCTAAAACAAGGCTGCCAAAAGTACTGCTTTCAAAGTACAGGACTACTCTCCTGAAGCCAAAACTATTTGGACCTTCCATTCCATTTCTTTCTGGCCACTCTTTGCATTTCCCATGGACCGGTAACTCTGACTTATGGATTAATGGAGAACATAAATGCCATTAGTGGCCATGAACAAAGCAATTGTTATTGTGGTGTGTGTATTAGTGAACCCAGTCCAAAGATCAGAATGCAACCCAGCTCAGTAAAATTACAGCTGGAAGATGTGCAATACAGAACTATGGGCCACTTATTCCATTGGACTGACTAAAGCAATTAACACAGGAACCTAAATTCAGGAAGTTTCAAGTATCCAAAATATTAGCAAGATCTTAGAAATCCCCCAGGATGTTTGGTACGAGATGAAAAAGAAAAAAAAAAAAACCTTTCATTTTCAAATAATGGGACTACAGATACAGGAGCCGTAATAAACTGAGATATTTCAAAACTCCATACTGAATGATTGAGATAAAGCAATCTTGGTGTTTTGCAGGAAGTAGAAATAGTGACTCAAGGGATTATTAATGCAGAGAAGCAGCATTTCTTGATGGGCAGGGGAGGGGGCAGGGAGGAACTGAAAGGGTTAGGAGTCCACATTCCTTTCCCTTGTCTTGTCATGCCTGCAGTGGAGTCTGGAACAGCTGGGAGAGAAGAGGTTCCTCACCTCTGAAAAAAGCGAACACGCTGTAAGAGGCCCAACCAGGGATCTCTGCTCCGCCATCAAACAGAGCCACTAGAGGAGGCTACTGGAGTTTTACTGGAAAGCAGCAAGTTCCCATAGAACGCAGAGGCCAATTCAAAAGTGCCCTTGTTTACTATATCTATGCAATGTAAAATAAATAATTAAAATAAAGGACACAGTATTGTTTTTAAAACTACATGGGAGCTGTGGGCGCTGTGGAAAATGCTCTATTTTTAAATCATGAAGCCATGCGAAAGAGAAGGAACAGCCCTGGGAGAAAACAATGGGACTTTCAAGTGGTTCTGAACTCTCCTGCTTCTGCCGGCTTGGAGTTTTCCCCATGGGACACAGAAATTCTGGCCCCAGTATGGACAACAGGTTTTTTTAGAAGACTCAGTGTTGCTTCTCGTTTCTTAAGAGGCACTTCAGCAGCCTCAGACTCATCATCCTTTGAAGACGGGGCTACAAATGTGATGCTGCTGGCCCAGGAGGTTTGTTCCCTGCAAAGGGGCCTCCCTGCTTCTATGCTGCTATCCCCGGAAGAGCTTTAAAAGCATTTGGTTGCGGGCACATCCCCTGTATTCAGGAGCAAATGGAATGTTTACGTTAAATGGACCTTCATGGAAATGACTTCACAAGTGGTTATCATCACTGCAAAGAACAGATGGTAGCCTTTAAAACGTATTCCTCCATATAGACTGCTACTTCAGGAAGGAAACTGAGATAACTACAAAGTGGTACACATGACCTTAAGACAGAATTACTGCATTTGAGATGCAAAACTCTGGATGACCAGAAAACCTCCGTCAAGAATTGCTATTAGCAGCCAGCTAGTTGCAGTCCAGATTTTTTAATTCAGCTATGATAGCCTTACTGCATTTAGGCTCCTGATCAGTTACTGGGAAGACATCGCTCACTCAAAATTTGATTTTTGATGACAAAATCAAACCTCATACATATCCCAGAGATCTGACCAATACCAAGCAAGGCTGGGAGGAATAACAGGAATGTGCAGGAATGCTAAATGTCTATATAGTCAGATGAACCATTCAACAGTCTGCTAATTTTGATACATGAGGTGACAATGATATCCCTTATGACCTGCTGCCCAATTGTTTCAAATTCTAAAGCAACATGGAACAACTTTGGAGGTTCATGCTGGACCAACCCAGATTACTATGTCGTAGTAATTTAACAAACCCATCAAGTTTGCTCAGTTAGGAGCAGAGGTGGGCAATTAATTTTCCCAAGGGCCCACAAGAGAAACTGGGACTGTGGTGGACAGCTGAACCAATAGAACTGTGAAGGTGCATAGGCACATATGCACACACATATGTAAATTGGAAAAAAAATAGCAACCACCTTCAAAATAAAAACAATGCAGTTGTATTGTGTGAATGGCATACACTGATTTACATTTGATTTCTAATTTCTGATTGATTTCATGAGGGCCGGACAAGGACAGCCAAAGGACCGGATGTGGCCTAGGGACTATAAAATGTCCAAGTCTATTTAGGAATAACCCAGAATTTCATGTCCCTCAGCAACTTGTGGTAATGAATATGTAATGCAATAGAACACCACTTCATTTGGTAGTCTGATGGATGGAAACGATACTCTGAAGGAAGAAGAGTTATACGAAGTAAGATATAGCTGACAAAAGTTTATGCCTTTTAATAAAATTGGTTAGCTTAAAAAAATGCTATTAAAAGCCTTTTGATTTATCTTTGTTTAATGGTCTGATATCATAATGGTTTGTTCCAGACTTAATACTAATATCGACTTTCCTCTGAACAGCAAATGAATCAAAATGGCCACTTGAAGATGCTTAGGAAATTTCCTGCCTCATTTAGAGAATGTCAAAGCTAGCTCGTATGGAATATGAAAATGGCTTATTCCTATCAGTCCTAATTTGACCTTCCCCTTACGGCAGAATTAGATCATTCCTGGTAGATGAAAAAATGTTCACCCTGACTGAGACTCCATTACTAAATTGAATTAATAATGGGTCAAATTAATATAACTTACTATATTAGCTGGCAACTACTTATCTGCTTTCTTGGAACCCTTTGAGCTTAAGGAGGTGAACAGGGAATCTACAGCAGTGAAGGCTACTACATGTTTATCTAAGGTTGCTCCTCCTTGCTAATTAAATAAGCTAAAAAGATTAATGTCATGGGAAATGAAGATGATTATGAAAGGTTGCAGGAGGCAATAAACAAAGCTTTTCTCCCATGATGATCGTGCAGGATTGTGATGTGGCCCACCTTATTCAACGAATAGTTTTTATACATGAAACTGGGTGGAAGAGATTGCTTGGAATTCTGGAATGAGATATCACCAATATGTTGATGGCCTTTAGCTCTATCACTCTTGGGCAACTATCAGTATGAAGGAAACAGCTCATATCCTTCAATCCTGCTTAGGCTCGATAAGAAGGAACAAGTTTGTAAGTCCAGTTCTGCTGCTGAAGAGGAAGTCTGGTTCAGAGAGGACTTGTTTTGAAAGAGGTTGCAACCCTCCAAAAGAGCAAACTTGTAACTTTGGCAAGAAGTGTTTGCACAATTACATTTAAATGTTCCAGCTGTGACCTTTACTGGGTTGGTATAATTTGGCATGATGATTTATGCTCTTTACAACAACATGTGAAAAGCATTCAGAAACTTATATAAAAGGTTGCATGTAGGCTTTTGACCGTTACTTAATATTAATATTAGCACTCTATTATATAAATATTGAAAAATCTGCATGATTGCTCTATGTTTTCTGTCCTCCGTTCAAGGTAATTCATCTTTAAAGTAGTCTTAAAAATGTATGAAATGACTATTTAAAGGGCGCCCTGCTTCTTTATAAATTTGTTTAGTTATCGGTATATACAGAAGATGCCCTGAGATGACATAATTTGCAAATATTGTTTATTAGATACTTGTCAAAGAGTTTTCTTCTTGCTGCCCACTAAACTGTGAAATGATCTTCCTTAAAAGATGCAATTGATTCTAGTTCTAGTTTTCAGGAAAAAAAATTAAGAGAAATATCTTTTCAATCCTGCTTGCTAAACTGCTTTTAGCAATTTCATTTTATTTATTATTTATTATTTATTTATTGGTTCAATTTATATGCCGCCCTTTTCCGGAGACTCAGGGCGGCTTACAATGCATTAAGCAATAGCCTTCATACTTTTTTATATACCTGCTTAGTAGGGCTTTCGGGGGCCCCCAAGCGGTGTTCTTTTTTATACAAAGTCAGCTTATTGCCCCCACAATCCGGGTCCTCATTTTACCTACCTCGGAAGGATGGAAGGCTGAGTCAACCTTGAGCCTGGTGAGATTTGAACTTGCAGTAATTGCAGGCAGCTGGTATTACTTAACAGTGCTTTAGTCTGCTGTGCCACCAAGGCTCTTTATGGTTAACAACTAGCAATATACCTTTGGTATAATAATCTGACAATATTTCTGTGATTTAATTGGTTTTCATAGTTGTTGTACATTGCCTTAAAATGCTTTTAACAGAAAGGTAAAATGATAAATATATATATATATATATATATAAGATAAATATTTTTCTTTTGTTTGTCAAGGATCATAAGGCTAATACAATTAAAAGGAACATCCGTTTGTTAGTTACCAACCCAAATCAAACAAGCCTAGAATAATTGTATTTTGCTGCCAGTCACACTCAAATTCCTTCCAGGTTTGCAAATTGAAACCTGTTGCTTACTAAACCTTTTCTGATCATTCAGAGAATAAGTTGCTTTGGATATTAAGGACTCACACCTTAAGGATCTTGCCAATCAACTAAATTTTAACTGTACTGCCCTGGTGATGTTACCTAATTTGGGTAATGAAACATCTGCAAGAAAACAACCAAGCTCAGAGAGCACCAAGGACCCCTCATTTCAACCCTGAGCTACAAATATTCTCCTCTGTCGTAAATTAACTATGTCCTAGAGATGCTCCAATACAGGATGTGCTGGGAAAGCTGAGATGAAGAGCTATAGAAAACACCTAATGGGAAGAGCTGAAGGGGACCATACCAAACAAACGCGTCTCAAGGCAAATGAGATCTCCACCTCAGGCAATCCCACTCTCACCTGTCAGATGAATTACCTGTCGGCTGAAGAGACGCTGGAGCAGGCCCTTTTTGGGCAGGGGAGGCTGCTGCCCTTTCCAGTCCAGATCAGGAGGTATGATGCCATCTGGACCAAATACATTCAGCTCCTTGAAACATTCTGTATCTATCATCTACAAAATAATAATGACAAAAATTTCAGAACTTACTATAGTTCTGCTATGGCTACCCACTTGTTTCTCAGAGCTGCCCGCATCCAAAATCAGTTACCAGTACCAGTTTTTGTGGCAAAAGCAGATAAGCCATTTTCAAATTCTCCTTTCAGAAGCATCATTTCCCGGAAGAAAACCTACCTCATTTTGCCAGGGAATAGGGACACTTCCTGTTGCAAATTTATGATAGAAATCATGGTCCGTTGGTTCTAACTCTACCCCTTTGACTGTGGAAAACTGCTCAATATCCAGGACATCTTTGCAATAAATAGCTTGGGGCTAGAAGGAATACAGAAAAAAATAATGCATGGAAGGGTTATTTTCTTCCATGTAAAATAGCAAACAATATCATAAGAGCATAAAACATGGCTGCACCATACGTGCATTTTCAACTCACATCAGGTTTAAAAGGTGGGTCCAGCATCCCAGCTTCCAGTCGCTTGAAATTCAGATGTTTAAACAGAGGGTGGTCTTTCACGTCTTGAGCACCGGACCCTCCACACCCCAGCCGTTCCAAGGGGTCTTTGCACAAGAGCTAAAATGCAGCACAAGAAGATCAAACACAAGCTGCCTCTATACCAGTGTTTCTCAACCTTGGTAGCTTGAAGATGGGTGGACTTCAACTCCCAGAATTCTAAGGTTGAGAAACACTGCTCTATACGGTTACACAGCTTCCATTAAAAGGGGAATAAATTTAACCCACATTTAAACTGTTAAAACTGGTTTTTTTTGGGGGGGGGGGGTGATACTGACATAAAACTTGAAGTGTTCTTTGTAGACTGTTTTTTTGTCCTGGTTTTTGCTAATCCCGAAACTCATTTTATATTATTTTATATTTTTGGCCGATTAGAAATCGGCATCAAACTGCACTTTTTCTTTTTCGTCCTTACCATTTATTTACCATAAAATTTAAAAAATGGCACACCATATAGTAATCTATTAAATGTTTATAAACCTTTAAAAAAAACCAACACGATTTAAAACAATTACACAATATGCTACAACACAAGATAAAATTTAACTTTTTTTAAAAAACCTTAAAACAACCCAGCAAAAAATACAAGACACAAAAGCAGATGGGGGAAATTAAAGGACAACCAAAATATATCTAAAATGCAGGAATGTCTCTGGTTTTGTCTTATCAAGAGGGGAAGTGGCTATACATGACAAGAGCCCTTGTTGAGAGAGGCCATCTTGGCAATGACACCAACTGCTAATCTGCAAATCATGGGACAGAGCAATATCTGAAGGCTAATATGTATTAGGAGATGCTCTTTTAGCTAACCTATTTAGAATTTTAGCCCCTTGAATCTGGCTCATTGGCAATCGGGCGCATACACATAAAGCACCCCAATGAGGAACCTAACCATTTCATTCTGCTTTAGTTATAGCCTTCGGACCAATCCCAGGGAGACCTCCTTCCCTAATGCGTGAATCGTGGTGACCGAACACTGCCTGTCTAGTCTAGGGCAACATAGCTGGAGGATCATCTTCAGGTGGTGAAGATGATCCTCTTCATCTTTTGCCTGCTTTATTTCCGTAGTCTTTTAGGGCTCTTCATGGATCATAACAGAAGTATACAGGTAGTCCTTATTTAGCAGCCACAACTGGGATGGGTGACTTGGTTGTTAAATGAAGCAATTGCTAAATAAAATGGCAACTGCGCTTATGAACTTACTTTGGCTTTCCTTTGCTTTACAGGCTTGTGTCATAAATATGAGGACTGCTAGCAAAATTACTTTTCATCTCTGTCATAAGTTTTAGTGAATGGAATGAGGCAGTTGCTAAATAAGGACTAGCTTATAGATTTTTCCTCCTAACATTTATGTCTCACTATTTGATAGCTAACAGCCTTTCCAGTCTTCCTCATACCTGGCAGTTACAGTTAAGAGGCAAAATTAAGATCACTTATATGTCTTCTTGGGATAACTAATAAAACTGGGTCAGAAAGGGGTTATTAATTTAATATCACATGGTGGTATTAAACTATCATAGTGAGAGACATGTAGATTTCTGATACGTAAGCATTTTTCCTCTGATTTGAGGCAGATGTGCAAGCTAGTGAGGGAAACTGAGACCCATAATGGGAAGTTGATCTATATCCTTCCTTCTTCCATGCCTCTCTCTAACAAAACTGTGCAGAAAGAATATCTGAAACAATGGCTATTTATTTACTGCTTCATAAACTGGGAAATCAAGTTGCTTTCTAAACAAAGGAAAGTTTCAGAATAAACATCTATACAAGTTTATACAAGGATACAAAGGATTTGAAGTATGATTTAACTGCTTTCTCACAGGTACAGTAGATGTCAGGTAGGATTAGTTGGTATATAGATACATCGAGATGTACAGCACAATTGCAGCAAGATTGTGCTACATACTGGTCTAAATACAGGTTTGCAGATAACTTTAATATATAATATGGTTTGTTTTGCTTCAACTTATACGGGTGATACATAGCCTCTGTAAACCATCTTTAATGGTTTAGAATATATTAACCAATAATCCATGATTTAGTATGTGGTAAAAACCAAGGCACTGATCATTGATGATAAACTGAAATTCTTGCACAACTGGCTACCAAACTACATCAAAAGTACTTCTGTTCCTGTTTTTGTTTTGTTTTTTAAAAAACAATTTAACACATATAGTAAAAAACTTTGATTTTTGTTTTGGCTGAACCCATTCTGGAGTAAGCCAACACAGCAAATTCAGTTTTAATTATATTATAGTTATATTATAGTCCACCAAGCACCAATCCCTTTGAAAAGGAAAGGGTTTATGTTGCAAATTTTAATTGTGCCTGATGGTCAAAGAGGCAACAGACGTACCATGGAACACATGGAGCGGGAGGCAGGTGAGAACTTCTCGGAATACTCTTCCTGGACTTCCTTCACCAGACGTTCCACTTCTTCACGCTTGATCTTCTTCCTGCGCTGCTGGAATGGAGACTGGCCCTCAATCATCTCATAGAGCAGGCATCCGAAAGCCCACCAATCTGGGCTGAATGTGTACCGTTCATTCTTCACAACTTCAGGAGCTGCAAAAAGAACCATTGGAACCAGATCTTGACACAATCTTTACTTTTGCATTTTCTATTTCCCCTTACTTGGGATTCAGAGATGTAACACAAAATGCAAGAGTAAGCCATCTCTTTCTGCATCCTATTGTAATTACAGGCTCCAACCTTTCCATACTGTTTGCACAGCATTGTCACAAAACTGTTGAGTCCTTCTCCTCCATCTAAGCAGTACAAGGTAATCAATCTCTTAGGGATATCTACGAAAATATTCAGAAGATGAATGCAAGCCAATTTGAACTGTTTGAATATTTTCTTCCAACTACAATTGTATTTCTAATCTGCAACCCCTGGATGGTTTGGGACATAGAATGTGCAAAAACTAGTTGAGAGCAAATGGAATTCTGCTTGTTTGAGTTACTCCAATTTAGTGCATCTGGGTTTGGGCACTGATGTTTCAGGAAGGAATGCTGCTACATTTGTACACAATCCTGAAGCTGAATATTTAAAAATCCTCCACAGTCAGAAGTCTGAAATGAAAGTTTATTTCTGGGCAACCTGAAAACACCTTCCCAAGGAGCTGCCTCAGCTTCTTCAACAGGTCTGCCTACAGATCTGCAGAAACATTAGGGATTTATTTGTTTTACCAGTACTGTAATATTTCTGTTGGCTCCACAAAACAAACAATACTGGGAGTCTAAAGGTAACCCTGAAGGAGAAATATTTGGATCAAGCAAAGTTATTGTCAAAATAGAAGCAAATGAAGCGACAAATGCATTTCCTTATTCTGCCCTGCAGATCGAGTATATGCGACCACTTTCTACCAGTTATTCAAACTTAAGCCCAGATGCCCTTTAGGATGACATTCACCTGTTTTGCCCTGTTAAGTTCTGACAAAATATTCTGCCCTTGCTCTGATGGGCTTCATGATTTCCAGTTTCCAGTCAACACTCCAGAACCCTTCTTAGATACTTACCCATGTAGCCAACAGTTCCAACCCGACCTTTTATTGTCTGTCCTTCTGGAACATGAACAGCTAGTCCCAGGTCAGAAATACGGATGTGACCTTGTTAGGGAAAAAGGAATTGTGAGAATGTCTTGTTTACAGATTTCCCTCACTTGCTATAAAAGAGGAGTAGCATCAACTTACCCATGGAGGGGATCAATTGGTCTGTGAAAAACATTTACTCACCATGGTCATCCAGTAGAATATTCTCTGGCTTCAAGTCCCTGGAGAGGAACATGGATTTATAAGAATAACGTCATCAAGATGTTCATACAATGTATTTATCTATATCTTGGATAAAGGGAATATTGGTCAGTCAGGACTAGTTTCCTTAGATTTCGCCAACACGTATTTTCACTTCCTTCGGGAGGAAATGCATCTGCCCAGTTTCTGAACAATAAGTGTTAATTTCACATTAACAGCACTCAAAGTATTTCTGAGTTGATCCCCAGCTGAGTTCCAGCTGTGCCCAGAAGGTAAGTGCATTCTCACCTGTAAACTATCCTCTCTCGGTGGAGATCTGCCAAGCCACAGCAGATTTCAGCCGCATAGAAAACAGCCCTTGGCTCTTCAAATCCTGCTTCTCCCATGTGGTAGATGTGGAACTTCAGGTCTCCACCATTCATGAGAGTCAGCACCAAGCAGAGAGCATCTTTTGTTTCATAGGCATAGGCCAAACTCACCTACAATAAAATCAGGTCGTTTCAGGACTAAAACAAACCTAAAATAGCTCCAGAAAGCACAGCATCCAGATTCAAATATCAAGAGCTGCGCTGACTATTCATTCATCTTTACAAAAACTCTGGATATACAGAGACAGAAAAAGGTCTTGAAACGAGATGTTACTCAAGCAGGCATTAATGATAGTTAGTAGCTAACTGTCTGCTATAAAGTTAAATGTAAAGTTAAGTGGTGCAGAGGAGCTAAAAGCAATAGAGGAAACAGCGGGAGTAGTGAAAAGGCCAAATACAATGAGGTCACTGCAATAAGAGGCTGTTCAATTGGTTTCTATTCAGTGAAACAAAAACAATTGCAGGTAGGTAAGGTTGCTCAGTTATCTCTATGTATCCCCTTTGGGATCTTGAACTGGTTTCAGTAAAAGCATCAGTAGAAAGTCCAGCAGATTGCAGGCAAGGCCAATTGTGTATTCTCTCCCATCAAATATGGCCTGATTTAGAATCAGGTGGGAAGGACAGGACCCATGCAGTTAAGTCTACCTATGTGCCATGAGCCGTGGTGGCGCTATGGTTAGAATGTAGTACTGCAGGCTACTTCTGCTGACTGCCGGTTGACTGCAATTTGGTAGTTGAAATCTCACCAGGCTCAAGGTTTGACTCAGCTTTCCATCCTTCCGAGGTGGGTAAAATGAGGACTCAGATTGTTGGGGGCAATATGCTGACCCTGTAAACTGCTTAGAGAGGACTGTAAAGCACTATAAAGTGGTATATAAGTGCTATTGCTATTGTTATGTAGCCTAAGTTTCAGGTGCTGCACATTGAATGGCAAGTAAAGCCATTGAAGAGTTTTGCCATCATTTTGTTAAATACAAGTGCAAAATGGAAGGAAGGAAGGAAGGAAGGAAGGAAGGAAGGAAGGAAGGAAGGAAGAATGGTCCAAGATGAAGACTGTGGAAATTATAGTTAAATGGAGTTGATAAGATTCTTAGCACAATAGAGAGATAAGAAGCTTAAAACACAAAATATACAAACTGTTGCATGGACATGGTTTTCAGGGAACAAGAAATATATAGAGGTGCACTAAACATGTTGTCCGGATATAGATTTAACTCTATATCCTTTTCTCTTCCCACCTCATTCCCTAACTATTTTGGCTTATTTTTTTATAACTCTTTTTCTGTAATTTGCCTAATGTTTCAATTCCAAAAAGGTGTAGCCAGTGATGGGCTGCAAATTTTTCAATAACCAGTTCTCTGCCCTAATGGCTGGCTGGCTGGGCGTGGCCAACTCGATGTCACTTACGTCGAGAGGCACTTTGCCTCGCCCGCCCTCTCATGACTGTGGGGATGCTGCAACTGTTGTAAGTGTGAAAATTGCCCATTATCATTCAGACCTTCCACAAAGCATTTACTGGCAGTTCAAAATCCCATATAAACTGATATCTATAGTCCTGTAGTCCAAAATCCCATATAAACTGATGCTAGTAGTTCTGTAGCGGCTATAGGTTTAGCATTATAGGTTTATAGGCCAGGAGGGGGAAAGCCCAATAGCCTTGCCACCTGGCTAAGGAAATCCCACTTATTATAACCCAGGTGTGTGAAACTCGTGTCATAGTGACGTATCATGACTTTTTTCCATTTGCTAAACCGGGCGTGGGTGTGGTCAGCACATGATACATCCAGCCCGCAGGCAGCGAGTGTTGTGGCCCGCCAGCTTCCAGTGGAGGTGGCGGTAGACTCAGGTGAGGAAGAGGTTGGGGAGGAACTTGGGCCAGTTTTGGAGTCTGAGGAAGGCACTGATGGATGCTCTGCATTGGAAGCAGAGATAGAGCCAGGGCAGTCCGACATTTCCCATCCACCGGAGAGACAGCTGCCTTTGGAGGCTGAGATAAGTGGGGAGGAAGAACAGCTGGGGCCTGTTCCAGATGCGCGTATACACAGAGCTGTCAGGAGAGGAGAACAACTGAGGACAAGGAGTCAACTCGGGAAGCAAGGTACACGTGGACACTGAATGGCCCCTCTCTGGCTGGGGAATAAATAGAAGGAAAGGGGATGGGTGGTTGTAGGAGACAATCGTTCGGATTTCGGAAGATTTGGCTCATCGTGTTTCGTGCCTCAGAGACTGCTTCCCAGAACTTTATTTACAGCTTTGCGGCTGGAAGCTCCCAGCCTAGCAATTATCTCAAAGAACTGATAAGGTCTGTTACTGTAATTAACTCTTTGAAGGATTATTGCCTGGACTTTTTGATGTGTGAATGCCACAGGAGATAATAAAGAGAGGTTTTTTGAGACAAGGAGTCTGTTTCTTGTTTCTGCTAAGGCGGGGTCAGAACAGCGAGTTTGACAGCCCTGCTTTAACCCCTGCCCATCATGGAGCAGAGATTGAGCAAGTGGACAGCAAGTAATTGTATGACCGACGCCCTCTCAAGCCCCGGGCAGAAGTAAAGCAGTTCCTATGTACTTACTACAAACCTACTGTTCACTTTCTCCAGTATCTGCTTCTCATTTAAGGCCATGGCTTCCCCTTTCCGCTTTTTTATCCGCTTTTTCTCAAGCTTCTTGCAGGCGTACATCTTTCCGGTGGCCCGCACCTGGCAAGCACAAACCTTGAAAAGAAGAAATTAAGGGTGATGGTTTTGGCAGTTCACAGGATTTTATCAGCTTCATCAGTTAAGTGGTTTATTGGATCCTGAAGTCATTACTTTGATATCTTCAAGCAAAAATGCTGTGATATCTTAGCGATTAAATGATTTATTGACTCCATCACAAAAGTCTTGGCTTTTACTGCAAAAAAAAAAAAAAAGAAAAAGAAAAAGAAAAGAAAAGAAAGAAAAGAAAAGAAAAGAGAGTTCATGACCTTTCTGCTGAGAATAATATGATAGTCCTGGAGCTCAGAATCAAACATAAATAAATGGGGTTAAGGTCTACTTCTTGCTGAATCCTTTCATGTTTTGCAGCCATTAGTATTACCCTGACTGCAAAGTTTGGGGCATCAAATGTTGTAGGAAGTAGCAAGAAAGAGCTTTAAATGCTTTGCATCTTTAAATGCTTTGCATATCAATCATGCTATTCAGAAAGGTACTTGTGATCACCAGCAGCTCAATTAACCAAGATCACATTCTTGTGGAATTCTCATTCAGAAACATAAAATTATTCCATAAGGTAGGTTCCCAAAAGCAGGCAGGGGAGCTACTTCCTTGGGGTTGGTTAAATTACATACCTCTCCAAAGCCTCCCTTCCCCAGCACACGGTATTGACGGAAAGTGTTCTTGGTTATATGCCACCTAAGAGAAAACAAAGATCAGTTGCCCATTAGAAAGATGAAGTATTAATTCTATTCTCTTTTGATCAATACAACATGCAAGCAAAATTTTATACATGAGCCCAATAAACCAGAATAAAAAATTTCTAGCAGGCTAATGATGAAAAATCCTGATGAGGATTGCATTCATTTTCATTATGTAACCAAGATTTCCCCTCCCACCCAGAGGTTCTGACCAGTTCTGGAGAACCGATAGTGGAAATTTTGAGTAATTCAGAGAACTGGTAAATACCACCTCTAACTGGCCCCGTCACCTTCTATTCTCTGCCTCCCAAGTCCCAGCTGATCAAGAGGAAATAGGGATTTAGCAGTAACCTTCCCCTGGAGTGAGGTGGAGATTTTACAGTATCCTTCCCCTGCCACGCCCACCAAGCCACGCCCACAGAGCTGGTAGTAAAAAAAATTGAATCCCACCACTGCTCCCACCCAACAGTCAGCAAAATTGTTAAGGGCAGGAAACAGGCTCTTTAAATCATATATTGTATAAACAAAAGGCCCAAAGAAGCTGGATCACAAGTACCACAAAGTCCATAACAAAGATTTACCTTTCCAGATACTTCCACTGCAGGAAGCGGTTGAAATAAACGCTGTCAAGATAATCTGCAAAAGGTGCCACGCTAAGGTAGTCATGGATGAGCCTAGAAAAAGAACTAGATCCTCTTAGGGAAATTGAAGTCACCCTCATGCAGAAAAATAAAGATGATGCCAGATGCTTCTTTGTTCAAAAGATTGACTGGACACAAGGTGGAAAACCCTCATGGAATTAGGAAAACTCATAATTTATGTGGCCAAGGCTATCCCAAAGACATTACCCTATAGGAAAGCCAAAGATATAATACTCAACTTAAGATAGCACTAGGAAAGTGATTCTCATTTATAGAAAGAGCAGGAGTCCATTGATTCATTACCCACTTGATAAAACTTTTTTGACAGATGCAATAGAGGACTAGAAATTCTTTGCTAGACAAATTTGGGCCAGTACTTGTTTCCAGATAATATATGAGGTTTGAAATATAAAACGTCTTTATTTCTATATGCCCTGCCTCTCTTGAAATCAATATAATGGACGCACGGTGTCTAAGGAATCTCTAATATGGTTACTAATCCGGTTGCCAACTGACTTACACACCCTCAGCTATCTAATGAAGGCATAGTGTTTTCCAGGGACAAAGAGTATGACCCAGAAGAAAACATCTGGGTCTGAAACATGAAGTTAGGATCTCTTCTTTTCCATCAGGTTATCAAAACTTCAACATATCTGCTAATAATCTAAATATCACTTATTAAGATGTGCACAAAAATGTTTTGCTCTATGTTGCCTAGCAGCTCTTCTGTGACAGAGAAATGAATGATACTATAGAACAGGGGTGCTATTCAGCAGGTTCTGACAGGTTCTGGAGAACCGGTAATGGAAATTTTGAGTAGTTCGGAGAACCGACAAATACCACCTCTGGCTGGCTCCAGAGTGGGGTGGGAATGGAGATTTTGCAATATCCTTCCTACAGGAGTGGGGAAGGAATGGGGATTTTATAGTATCCTTCCCCTGGAGTGGGGGAATGGCGATTTTGCAGTATTCTTCCCCTGCCACACCCACCAAGCCACGCCCACAGAACCAGTAGTAAAAAAATTGAATTCCACCATTGCTATAGAACAAGTTCTTCATGCTTTTGGTGAAGAGCAAGCTTAGATCTTGTTGGGTGACCAATTATTGTCCAGAAAAATATACAGAGCATTAATCAAATTCCACCTATTCTCTCCACTCACTTGGTAGATTCCTTAAAGAGTTCTTCACTTGGTTCCTGTTCCAGTTGTTCAGAACACAGATTCACTAGCTCCAAGGGCACTTCAGGGACATGGTCCGCACTCTGAGGGCAAAGCATCAGTGTCAAATGAGGATTCACAGTTCTGCAAAAAGCAACAAATACCCTCCCGAAGCACTAGTCCCTGGCAGAATTATCGTGGGGCTGGAGGGAATGGAATCGGGCAGCAGCAGGAATAAACAGGAAGAAATTACTGTAGCCTCTTGGTGTTTCTCCTTGCATTGCTAGAGTTTGTTGTAGGATAGGAACTTTGGCAATGAATGATATTGACAATTAGTAGTCTTGATTGCTATTTTACAAGGACCAGGCACTGAATAAGGAAGTGCTGAAATAGTTACTTGCATCATGATCACAATCATCTCAAGATTGCCAAGTTGTGACCATCCTGACAATCTGCACACACACACACACACACACACACACACCACAAAACCCTGAAAAAAGACAAATAGAGTTCTCACTAAGGCAATTGTTCTTCCCAAAGCTCAGCTTATTATTAGAGTAACTCACAATGAGCCCTTGGCTCCTTTGCTTGGCTGCTACAACCCGAGAAGCTGCTCACCTTAGGATTCAAATATGTTTCAATCAGATGCTTCCCACATTCTTTCCGTTTCTCATCCGGGGTCACTTCATATTCGGCCTGAAATGAGAGCAAGCAGCACCATTATTACAGATCCCTGCTTAGAAATAAAAGCACAGCTTAAAAGATTCAAAACGGCCATTCTATGTACAAAGAGACAGGTTTGGGAGAATATTCTGTATGTGTTCCAGTATCTCTTGAGGAGAAATTGTAGTACATTTCAGGGATAATACTAGACTCTGCTCTGAAGAGAGCACAACAAGGAAGTAGCAACAGGGCTATGCACACAATTTGAAATGGATGCACTGTAGGATCCCCAGGTGCAAAAATGTGCAATTAGTGCCCCCATCCCCATCAGGTACTCCTACTGAATTGTGCTTACCACAGCATCCAGGAACTTGACACAGCGCATGAGTTCTAGTCGCGTGTCACAAAACTGTCGGAACAGCAGACGTCCAATTGGCTGTTTATCACACAAACTGCGGTAGTCCTGCTCTGAAAGCAAAATAAACATGGTCTCATTATGAAAATACTCAAACCCTCCTTCATTGTGATATGGCTTTCAGTATTTTCATAATGAGACAACACTTAAAACACTTTCCAACACATTGACCTGCTGGCTGAGAATTTTGAAAGTTGCTGTCTGAATACATCTTGGGGGGATGTGCCACTTTGAGGAGGCTGTGCGGCATCATTTATTACCTCTAAATTTCAAGAATAAAACCAAATCCACAATTGTCCTGGAAAAGCTTTCTTTTCACACTGAAGAGTTTCCAAGAAAGAAATCTTGCATTTCATGTCAAATAATTCTTTGTCTAACAAGATTCCAAGCAGGCTTTCCTTGAGAGAAAATCAGTTCAACTAATTGGTCCCAGGGAAGATTTGGTATTTTGTTTTAACCTTCTGGTGACTATTCTCAGCTAGAGAGGAAAGGATCTTTCTCAGACCCTAACCTCATCTCTATTCATGACTTTTGCAGTTCTCCTTTTGTTTCTTTATTGCAGACCCATAGAAAAGAGGTCTACCTCCCTCAATTGCTTGCCAAAATTAAACCACCATATTTTCATTGATTATTTTTCTGCCCTTTAGTTCATTTTTACGCTCAAGACATTGAAGCTCTCTCTCTCTCTCTCTTCCTCTCTGTTAATTCCAAAGATAAACCTCATTCCAATCTTTGCCATCATCCAAGAAAGCATAGAGGGAGAGAAAAATAAATATTCAGTTCATTTGTTGAATTGTTCTCTCAAGGTCTTTGTTCCTGCTTTGGGCATGTCAATACAACTGGAAGGAGGCAAATATTTAGGAGTGACTTTTATCAAAAGGCAACAAGATAGCTTTTCAATGAAGATTCTGTTGCATCAGGTTTAACTAGGCAATGACATGATGATTTGCCCATATCAAGTGAGAAAAAAAAGATTATTACTATGAAACTGAGCAGAGAGCAATAAACAGTTTTATCTGAAGGTGTATACTTCAGCCTCACAAGTGTCTAGCCCACCATCTAGCTTGAAAATTCACTGCTGATACACAAAACTTAATGAGGTTGAGAAACAGATTTTATATAATCCAGGGACTGATACATTATTTAATAATCCTTGTGAAGATATCCAGACTTTTTCCCAGTCGGAATGCCTGCTAATTAGCTGAACTGAACTGAAATATATAGACAATGAGAGTATTGTTCCAATACACTTATAATCTTGAGAAATTCCAACTTTTATCAATTTATATGTTGGAATTATATCCTCTATCCTTTGGGATCTCATGTAGCACATCTTTGAATGTAGATTTGAACTGAGATCTCCCTGGTCCTACCTTAACACCTTAATTATTATTACACAGTAGCTACTCTACAGATATCCCACAAATTCAAACAATTACAGAGTCGAGTTTGAATATATCAAACATTTCGTATGTACTTTATAGCAGTAGATTCCTCTTTTAAGTGATTAGTAATCCTTCACATCATTTCTATCATTATCAGTAACTCTGTACTTTTCTGCCACTTTCTTTCTCTCCACAAAGGTCAGTACAACACCCTATCTGAAGAGATTTTCCTCCAGTATTACGTACCTCCATTTCATTAGTAATTAGACTTTATATTGAAGTCCATAAATGAGGACCACTGCATAACTGTATTATCAAGAGCGAATGGACTACAATGGTTATTTATGTTATAAGGCCCCCCGAGTTGCTTTGGAATGAGTTGGGTGGCAAATACATTTAATAAACAAACAAACGGCTTCAAATTATGCTTGAAGCATTATCTGAGGACATTGGTTTTCAGAAACATGTTAACACAGTTATGCAATGGACCTCATTTCTCTATACACTTCCAAGCTGGGATTTTGGGAAAGAAAGAGCCATTGCAATTTGTTAGAAACCAGTAAAGGCAGATCAATAGTTTTGTGCCCAGTAAAACAACGTTTAAAGATTTTTCAAGTCGGTATTGAGCAAAAATATAATCATAATAATCATAGTGGCCTGGTTTGTTTTCCAGATAGCCCCCAAATTCGTGGTGTTGTTTTATTATCTTGCTGCATTGTTGGAATCAGGACTAATCATAATTTCCCAGGAAGCCTCTTGCCCATAAATCAGCCTGCCCCAACCCTGTCATGGCCCATGTTGTAAGACTCTCCTTCTCTGTGCAGCAGTTTCTCTAAGGAAGCTGTGGTTTCCTGATCTGTGAAGAAAAACAACACCAACTCCAGAAACATGAGGGGGAGGGGCCGCATGCCAACGAACCATTTCTTCCTCTGATAGGAAATGAGTGCATTGAATAAGGGAAGGTGAGGGGTTCAGAGCCTGGCAAGATTATTCTTCAGTACTCAAGAACATGGTCAAGCCAAATATAGGCAAGAGTTACGTGCTAGACAGAAGCTTCATATTATAGGTTGATTTGGCCCCAGGGCTCCATAGTGGAATTGAGGGAAATTAACACATTATAGTTGAAAAATAGATTTCCTGTGAGATGGGAAATTTCATGCTTTTCTCTAATCTTTCAACCACAGGTTGCCAATTTCACACAGTTTTGCTCATTAGTTAATACATCTGCAGAGATTTGAAAACCTACATTGTATTCTGTGCCCAACTCACAATCTTTAAGGCATCTGTCTAGGTAAGGGGTGTCAAACTCGATTTCATTGAGGGCCGCATCAGGGTTGTGTTTGACCTCAGGGGGCTGGGGTGGGTGTGGCCAGCTTGACCTCACTCAGGTCGGGGGGCCCTCTGGTGGCCTGAGTGCTCTGCCAGAGAAGATGAGCTCCTGAGCTCCGTTTTCGGTTGCGACAGCCTCCTGCAACCGTCTGCCAGCGAAAAAGGAGCTCAGGAGTGCCTCCTTCGCTGTTTCCAGGGTGGCCCCATGGGCCAGATCTGGCCCCCAGGCCTTGAGTTTGACATCCCTGGTCTAGGTGGACATCAAGGGTTTAATGTGTACCATCTCTACATATACAGAAGCATTCATTGTGTCATCAATAATTTTGGTAAACTGCAAATTGGGCATTAAAAGAACCTCAGTGGAACAGTGGCTAGAGTGCCGTACTGCAGGCTACTTCTGCTGCCTGCTGGCTGCCTGCAATTGGCAGTTCAAATCCCACCAGGCTCAAGGTTGACTCAACTTTCCATCCTTCCAAAATGGGTAAAATGAGGGCCCAAATTGTTGGGGGAAATATGCTGACTCTGTAAAACCACTTAGAGTGGGCTGTAAAGCACTGTAAAGCAGTATATAGTGCTGTTGCTATTGCTATAAAGAATTGGAAAGAAAACAAGCCTTTTATAAGTCAGCTAGATATTACTCCAATTTCAAGATGGGGAAGAGAAAAGTGTACTTTTCAAATTAACTCAGGTCAATATTACAATTCCTAAGAGAACAAATAGCTAAGCTACGCAGAAAACATTCAGGTTTTTAGGGTTAACATTGAAATTCTGGCCAAGATCCAAAACTGAATTTTCCTCTTCCATCAAATACGAGATAATGCATCAGAAGGAATAATTAAGTAAAACCACTCAAGGAAAAAGCTCAAACATTACTGTGGACAGCACACGGAAGCCCTAATTCAATACACCAACAAGAAAAATGGTTAAACAGGAACAAAAGAGAAACTGGACTTAATGAGTCAGTGGTATAATAATATGATCTGTATTCAGGAGGTTCCATATTCAATTTTTCGATTTGAGCTCCAAAGAATCACTGCAAAGTTTGATGGACAACAATCCAACTCAATCTATAGCCTACATCATTTAGAATCATTCAGAACATCAGTCTTCCAAATAAGAACAGACTCGCCATTATTCTGTGTGTTAAAAAAACAAGTTTGGGGATGAGCTTCTTCTTTTCAGCTAAGTTTACACCAAAGCCTAATTATGTCAATGTAAATTTATCAACTGGTGCCACTTCTTTCAGATTCCTTATTTGAGGTTCAAAAAGCCTCACATACAGGTATCCATGAATCCATTTTTCAGGAAGAATGTTTTCAGATTCTAGGCAAGCAGAACCCCCAAAACTAACCAGATTGCGGTTTTCAAACAAGTAATAAAATTCCTTTTTGAGCAGTGATAGGAGCTCACATTATTTTTCTCTTTTTGTTACTCTGTGCAAAGAAATTTCTGCCCAACCTCCTTCCATTAACACTCTATGTATGCCAGAGGGGAAAAATTCAATTCAACAATTAAGGATCAGCATTCACCCAAACTACCAGTGCCTTTGATTTTCCTTAATGCAATTATAGTACTACAAAGTTATTAATTTTTTTTAGAGAAAAAAGTATCAAAATAGTATGGTGCACACACTGTAAGCAGTCAACTCTCCATAAAACATGGGACAAAAAGTCAAGTCTCATGTAATAGATTTCTTCAAACAAAAAATAGTAGTAATTTTTAAATCAAAAATATTTGTTTAACAAATTTATATAACTGCCCATCTCACAAATGCCCACCTCATGTCCTATTGAAGTGGGAAATGGTTACTAGATTTTTAAAGCTGCCTTAAGGAACTGTACAGACTTAAGCTTAAAGCCTGTTTCTTAACACCCAGACCCTAAGAGCTTCTCCAACAGTGAGACCACGGGTGGGCTTAAATTTTTTTAGCAAGGGGTTCTCTGCCCGGTTGCTGGGTGGGCGTGGCCTAGTTGGCCTCCTGCACCATGACGGGGAGGGGGCGTTTTTGTCCTCCCCAGGCTCCGGAGGCCCTCTGGAGGCCAGAAACGGGCCTCCCCGAACTTCCAGTAAGCCCGTTTTTCGCCCTCCCCAAGCCTCCGTGTGCACCCTGCACTTACCTGCATCCAAAACAGGCCATGTGGGGACTCCTGGGAGGGGCCGGGTGGGCGGGGCCAGCCAGGAGTGGATTTAGGGGTTCTTCGAACTGCACAGAATTTTAGCTAGAGGTTCTCCCAAACCCTTGCGAACCTCAGGCAGCCCACCCCTGACTGAGACTGACCTTGGTTGGTTACAGGCCAAGAGACATAACTGGGCATCTTCAGCATATTGTGACTGTGCTGTCAGATCACCTTGACTGACAGCCTCATGTAAATGTTAAATAGGCAAGAAGTAAGTGCTGCACCCTGAGGAACACCAGAAAGCAAAGGACATTGATTCAATCGCTCCCTCCCTCCCACCAATGTTGACTGGAACTGACCACAGAGGAAGGAGAACCACTGCAATATAAATTCTCCTCCTGATCCCTGAGGCCAATCCTAAAGGTTACCATGATGGATAGCATTTGCACTGAAAGCTGATGAGAGATAAATCCAGGAGAACTGTACTGCCCTCATTTTAGTCCCAGTAGACGTGTTCAACAAGCAGAAGCAATGCTGTTTTCCAGTGCTGCATCCAAGCCTGAACACGTCTGAAAAGATGATCCACATCCTCCAGATTTATCAAAAAGTTCAAAACTTTCTACCAGCATTGATTCTCATATGGTCTTTATTTGAGTTTGCTGTAAAAACTTAAAAGTATTATGCACATTTAATGTGTTACAGCTGTGTTTGGAACTTTTGAAGACGGCGGTGTGTGACTGTGACACTTTGATCAGTGACCCTTTTAGTTAACTTATGAACCTACATGCTTGAGCCTACTCTGAATGGCAGTTGTTCATAAACAATTCAAGCAGAAGGTTGTTTTCCCCCTGCTAGCCTTCGTGCTTGAGATTGTCTCTGAATCTAGCGGACCGTAAAGTACAGATGTGCGAAATTTACCATTTCAGGAATAGAATATTAAGCAGAACTCTGGAGTGGTCCATTTCCTTTCTGGACCATGCTAACTGAGCCACACTATGGATAGTCTGGAGATTTTTTGAAAGCAGTTTATGGTTTTCTAGGCTTAGTATTCTGGACAAAACAAGAGAAATGCCATATATATATATATTTAAATTTGATTTATATGCCGCCCTTCTCCGGAGACTCAGGGCGGCTTACAATGCGTTAAGCAATAGCCTTCATACTTTTGTATATTTATACAAAGTCATCTTATTGCCCCCATAATCTGGGTCCTCATTTTACCTACCTTAGAAAGGATGGAAGGCTGAGTCAACCTTGAGCCTGGTGAGATTCGAACTTACAGTAATTGCAGGCAGCTGGTGTTAATCACAATGCTATCAGTCTGCTGAGCCACCAGGCCCTTTTTCTTCCTCGAAAGACAAATTTTGCTTTTGCAATTCCCTCCTATAGAAGTAGTCCTCGACTTACAGCCAGAATTGAGCTCAAAACTTCTGTTGCTAAGATATTTGTTAAGTGAGTTTAGCCCCATTTTACGACCTTTCTTGCCACAGTTCTTAAGTGAATCACTGCAGTTGTTAAGTTAGTAAAGGATTGTTAACTGAATCTGTCTTCCCCATCGACTTTGTTTGTCAGAGGTTCACAAAAAGTGATTACGACCCTGGGCTGCTGTGACCATCATAAATATGAGTCAGTTGCCAAGCGCTGAATTTTGATCACATGATCATGGGGATACTGTAATGGTCATTAAGTGTGAAAAACGGATATACATCACTTTTTTCAGTGCTGTTGTAGCTTTCAACAGTCACTAAATGAACTGTTGTAAGTTGAGGACTACCTGTATTCTGCTATTTTGTACACATAAATTGAGCACCAAAATTTATGTTGTTAAGTGAGAAATTTGTTAAGTGAGTTTTGCCCCATTTTATGACTTTTCTTGCCACATTTGTTAAGTGAATCACTGCAGCTGTTAATTTAGTAACAAGGTTGTTAAGTGAATCTGGTTTCCTCATTGACTCTGCTTGTCAGAAGGTCACAAAAGACCTTGCTTGTCAGAAGGTCACATGTCTCCAGGACATTGCAGCGTCAGTCAGTTGTCAAGCATCCGAATGCAAATCATGTGACCATGGGGACACTGCAATGGTTGTTAAGTGTGGAAAAACAGTCATAGGTCAGTTTTTTCAGTGATGTTGTAACTTCAAACGGTCACTAAATGAACTGTCACAAGTTGAGGACTACCTGTACAAGGCAAGTTAGGTCATAATTCCATGTCAGAAATGTTTTTCATTACAGTGGCACCATTATAAAATCCAACATAGTCATGCAAATAATACATGAACAAACACAGTTCACCGAGGATGAATGAGCATGATCTTGTTCCAAGCAGGGGTGGGTTCTAAAAATTTTTACTACCGGTTCTGCAGGTGTGGCTTATTTTGTGGGCGTGGCTTGGTCATGTGACAATTATTTAGGATTTAGCAGAGGTACTGGTCTACCAGGCTTTTAACTGCTTGCAGAGCTGTATCGATCTACCCATTTATTTTTTGCAGGCACTGATCTACTCATGTATTTTTGCAGGCACTGGTCTACTTATTTGTTTTCTTTTAACACTGATCAGCTGTAGGGTGGCCCTTTGAAGCCCTGAGGCAAAAGTTTAAACAGTTTTTTTCCCTCTAGCCACCAGCTGGGACTCAGGAGGCAGCAATAGATTGGGGGTGGGGCCAAATAAAAGGTAAGAATAACGCGGGGGTGGGGGGGCAGGGGGGCAGAACAGGTTCGGTGACATCATATCGTTACCGCTACCGGCTCAGGAGAACCAGGCCGAACCGGGAGGAACCCACCACTGGTTCCAAGCATTTGAAGTCTTTTTACTTACAACCAAGCAATCCTTGTACTAGTAAAGTAGGGTCAAGAAAGTAACACGCAAAATCTTACTCCTCACCCAATGTATGCCGAAGATCTTCACACTGGCTGATATGTGGGAACTGCAGCATTTGACGCCATTTCTTACTCTTGCCCTTCCGATTCCCACCTCCACCTACGTGAGACAAATAAGAAAGAAAACACTAATAAAATAGTGAGAAAACCAGAACGCACTATTTATACATATCCTGTTGTTACGAACTGTTGCTCACCATCAGAACTCAATCAGTGATCAAATCTACCCCAACATTTTTTCTGAGCAATATATTATCTAAAACATTTCCAAAGAGCTCTCTGTAGATGTGAATGGTGAAAGTGCAACTGTGAAGAGCTTCATTAAGATCATGGATCATCTCCCTGTAAATAACCTTCAGTGACACAATGCATTGAAATATGATCTCCGGGATTTTCTTCCATATCACAATTGGAGGTAAACAATATACTCTACTCAGTGCCAAGTCCTGAATACGCGAATGACGTTGCTTTACAAAAGAACAAGTGCCAAAGGACAGGAACCTGTAAGATTTTACCTCATAGGGCTGTGCAGAGTTTCAGGTCACATGTGGACTGCACAGGAGCATAAATATAGCACCTATCTGAAATTCTTTGAATAAATCACGTCTCTAGGACTGAGTAGCACAGTCACAGATGGAAGCCGTATGATTCTGGGAAAAGATGCCACTTCTTAAAAGAATTACAGATTGATGCTATAGTCACATACTTCAGGGTACCTAATCCAAAGTGTTTTGCACAGCCTGTGAAGTCAATTTATGGGTTACCAACAGCGGTGGGATTCAGCCAGTTTGCACCACTTCGGGAGAACCGGTTGTTAACTTTCTGAGCAGTTTGACAAACTGGTTGTTGGAAGAAATCATTAGGGCAGAGAACCGGTTGTTAAATTACTTGAATCCCACCACTGGTTACCAATATATTGATCACTTGAGTCTGAACATTAAATAAGGATATGGCCTAAGCCTAAACCAAAGTAGCATTATATAATTTACAATGCTAATAAAAAGAAATTAAATTGCTGAATTCCTCTAAAATGCTCTTGGGTGCTATGATGGATTATAGGAATTTAAAACTACTTAAGTTTCTATATGTACCAGCAATTTGTCATAAGGTATCCAGCAACCACTTTTTCCCCACTTAGGCCTTTTTATTGCCTTGAGTACCTAGACAGCATTGACCCATACAGATGCTTTGCAGAAAAACAGATTCCTCCCCCGTATTCCCCCCCAACACCTCCATAACAGTATAAAACAGGGAGGTCAAACTCAATTTCATTGAGGGCTGCATCAGGGTTGTGTTTGACCTTGGGGGGACAGGGGGGACATGGCTGGGGTGGATATAGCCAGCTCGACATAGCTCGTGTCAGAGGCGCCTGTGGCGGCCCGAACGCTCTGCCAGCGAAAACGGGCTCCCAAGCTCTGTTTTCAGCTGTGATGGCCTCCTGCAACCCTCTGCCAGTGAAAACAGAGCTCGGGAGGGCCGCAGGTGGCCCTTATGAGCTCCATTTTCATTGGCAACGGCACCGTGGGCCAGTCCTTTGCTGTTTCCAGGGTGGCCCTGCGGGCCAGATCTTACCACCCTGTGGGCCAAATCCGGCCCGTGGGCCTTGAGTTTGACACTCCTGGTATAAACTATACAGGTTGTTATAGCCTTAATATTCTTACAGCAAAGGAATCAGAAGCTGAGAAATACTGATGTGCAAGACCATCTACCATGTTTCCCCGAAAATAAGACCTCCCCTGAAAATAAGCCCTCCCACAAAAATAAGCCCTCCCCAAAAATATTTAACTGCATGCGCAGCCGGTCCCCACCATTTCCTCTGGTTAGGGTGAGGGAGACAGAGCTGGAAATCAGGCAAGAGGAGCCCCGTCTTGCTCCACGTGCCCCAAAATAATAAGACCTCCCCAAAAATAAGGACAAGCGCTTATTTCAGGGTTCAAAAAATATAAGACAGGGTCTTATTTTCGGGGAAACACAGTAATCAGAATATAAATCAGGATTTAAGTCTAATATTAATTTCTCTTGCAATGCTTATACTTCTAAGAAGGGAGCAAAAGGGAAGTTTACTCTTAAGAAATATCTGTCAGCCTAAACCTTTAGTAATGAACCAGTATGGTTAAACTGAAACAGGTTGGCCAGATTTCCGGTGAAACTCTTTTACAAGACAATTTAAATGCATCTATAGAGTAGAGAAACACAACCGTCAGCTCAGCTGCACAGAAGTTAGAAACTATCTCGTTAACTGAAGAAACTGTGTGTTTACTATTTCTGCAGCTTATAAAGAAAAACCAGTTCTTTGTACCACCAGCATTCAGTCCATCCCTTATGTAATCAACTGAAATTGATTGAATGGAAGATGAGCAACATTTCTAGAAAATAAAGCTCCATGTTTGAAAGAAGTTACAGTACAGATCACATTATTATATTGAAAAGAGAAGCCTAAGTGTTGACATTAGAGATGATATTTAGAATTAACACATCGTGGTTCTGAGACTCATTTTACTGCTGTGGCTGATCTCAGGAATTGAATTGGTTGACCCTGGTTATTGCTTAAATGGGGGACTACCTTCAAATTCTAAGAGTCTTGGCTAGATTAGGAAGTCAAAAAGAGATCCTGGAACAATAACAAATAACTTCTTGAACACTGCTAAGAAAAATGTATGAATTAAATCACCATGATTTGAGCTTGAGGGCATCTTTACCTTTCCTGGAAACTTAACCATGGAATACAGAGAGCAGGAAAGGGACAGAAGAATACAAAAGACTGATGTGAAGCAAACCCTTTTCTTTCTTATTAGAGAACAAACATTGCTTAAAATGGCACAAAACAATTGTACCATATGATTGACTATACAAATCTAGGAAGGAAGTGAATCAAGGCAATGGGTAGCCAGCTGTACAATATTCTCAACTGCAGCTCCATGAAGGGAGACGCTAACTAGCACCAGAAGTAAATATTCCTTATAAAGGTCTATGTTGTAAAGGTTTTACCAATGCAAGGCTCCCAGTGCGATCATTTACCGAAGCCCAGCACCGATCATTATTTTTTCCTTCCACAGGAGAAATCCAGTGCAAAGAAAAAAGAAGACAGCAGCTCAGCCATTCTATTCATCTTATCTCTGTAGAACAATCATCTACCATGGCAGAATTGCTCAAAAAGGGGAAAAGGTCCTCCAATTTCTCCCCTAGTAAAATCCTTACCAATTCTCTTTAGAAAACATTTGTTCTGCAAATGGGATTCACTATGTACATAACTGCAAAGAGGCACAGCTGAATAAAAGCAGCTTAGTTTTTGTAAGTTATTTTGAAGTCTAGAGGGAATTTATGAGAAGAGAGCCAAAGAGAGGCATATCATAACGATGTACAAAATTAATGTTTTCTTTGATGAGCAGAAGGAGAATGCTGTAAAATCAGAGTGTATACATATTGCTGAATATATATTTATATATGAAAAAATGTAGAATGTTTAGCTATCATAAAGTCTCCTTCAAATTGTGATTCCTTGCACGTTTATAGATACATGATTGTATCAGGCCAAAAACCAAGTATGACATGATAACTCTCCCAAGCCAAATTCTTTATTGTTTGAAACCGATAGACAAAATCTTGCCAGACTGAGCACTCTAGTAGCTATATCTACAATATTCTCTGTTAACTATTAGAGAAAGGCTGTCTTCACCCTTTTTCTCTCACATATGCTATCTGGGCTGAGTTGCCTCTTACTCCTCTGCAATGCTTCCCCCCCTCCCTCCTGGGGATCTACACTACATTCCATCATATAATGTTGGTTTACATCTATAGGATTTACTAGTGCTATATTGAAGATCACTTATCTTACACGGTTTGGAACGCCATTGCCTCAGTTTCATCTTAATATTGTTGCATCTCAAGGTTGGGAATTTTAATTTTTCCCCCTACCTCCCAGAGTCTTCACTGATATGGCTGCTAGTGTAATTATCTGCCATTTTGAAGCAGGAAACATATTACTGTAAGCTCTATAATAGGCTTGATTATGTACCTTTGATTTATTGTCAACTCTTAAGTGACCACACACATTTTCTCCTTAATAATCTGTCCCTAATCCAGTCTTTCTTCCGATGGCGCACTCTGTAATTGAGTCCAACCACCTCACTGCTGGCTGTCCTCTACTTCTCTTTCCTTCCATCTTTCCCACTATTACAGTGTTCTTCAGTGAGCTAGGTCTTTACATAAAGTATAAGATTATTTGAGCTTGGCTATTTGTACCTCGAGTGCAAATTCCAGGTTGATTTGTTCAATGAGCCAATCTTTATTTTCTTGACTGTCTTTAGTATTCTTAGGAGTCTTCTCCAACAACAAAGTACAAGGGTGTCAATACTCTACCTATCCTGCTTCTTCAAAGTCCAACTTTTGCTTCCGTAGAGTGCCATAGGGAACACCATAGCTTGCTCTGTAAGTATAGACCAGTGATGGCTAACATTTTCCAGACTGAGTGCCCAAAGTGCATGCGTGCGCCCAACCCCCCCAAATGCAATGCGCGCGTGGTCCTGTGCATGCACCCCCCCACATGCATGCGTGCCCCCTGCATGCCCCCCACATGCTCCCCCCGCATGTGCAGCAGAGACCCGAAGACCAGCTGGCCGGCATGAGGCGTGCGCGCATGCGCAGCGAAGCTGAACTGGGGTGACGGCTCGCATGCCATAAGAGAGGGCACTGCATGCCACCTCTGGCATGCATGCCATAGGTTCACCATCACGGGTATAGACAGAACACGGCATATTTCATGATTGTTTGTTCCTTTATTGCTGATGGTTGATTCCACAAGGCAGAATCTATCCAACCCTTTTGACATCTTCATTGTCAATTTTAAGGCTGGTTTTTGTATCTATTGTCATTAGTTTGATTTTTTTTCCATATTTAATTTTTCTCACGGTGCTCTTTGACTTTTAAAAATAGGCAAACTTTAATTTCCTCCCAAGCCCAGAAAAGAAAAAAACACCAACCCCTTTTTATTTGCATGATTATCCCATCTTATTCTTTTGTTTTCATCAAAATATTAAATACAACACTCAGAGGTTGCTTAGCCTTGTTGCAGTGCAAAATTGCTGCCACCCAAGACCTACGATATTGACCAATATTGAACATTAGATTATAGGTACTTTAGCATAAAAGGGTGAAAATTTCATAGACAGATCCAGCACCAAAGGTAAAGAAGAGGTTAATTTCTACAGAACAAAGTGTTAGTTTTCTTAAAAATATGTCTGTACAAAAGAGAATTTGAGAACGTGTTTAGCCTTGATGGTTATTTTTAATAAAGACTTCCTATACAGAAAAATAGTTTGATTGAGAGCCACCAGGACTTGAAAGATGGGCAGCTACACAAATGTTTTAAATTAGAAAAAAAAATCGATCAAGAATTTACATGTAGATCTTATATAATAACCAAACATGTATTTATTTTGCTGTACGTAAAAACTATAGCCAGCTGAACTAGTATAGTACTACTGTTTGTTGTGCTCAGTGAACAGACTTGAACAATGGGCCTTATCCAACAAAATGAAATTTAAAGTGAAGAAAAGCAAGGTTTTACACCTCTTCAGGAAAAACCAAAGATACAAGTACAGATTAGGCGAAACCTGGCTCAAAAACAGTAACTGTGACAGGGACCTTGGGGCCCTAGTGGACAATCACTTAAACATGAGTCAACAGTGTGCGGCAGCAGCCAAAAAAGCTAATACAACCCTTGGTTGTATAAACAGAGGCATAGAATTCAAATCACCTGAAGTATTAGTACCGCTTTATAAAGTGAGGCCTTAGTGAGGTCACACCTGGAATACTGCATCCAGTTTTGGTCACCACATTACAAAAAAGATGTTGAGACTTTGGAAAAAGCGCAAAGAGCAGCAACTAAGATGATTAAGGGCCTTCAGACAAAAAGCATATGAAAAATGATTGCAGGATTTGGGTTTGGCTAGTCTAGAGAAAAGAAGGACTGGGGGGACATGATAGGGCAGGACAAGAAACAATGGATGGAAACTAATCAAGGAGAGAAGCAACCTGGAATTAAGGAGAAACTTCCCAACAGTGAGGACAATTAACCAGTGGAACAACTTGCCTTCAGAAGTTGTGGGTGCTTTATCACTGGAGGTTTTTAAGAAGAGCCTGGACAACGACTCGTCTGAAATGGCATAGGGTCTCCTGCTTGAGCAGAGGACTGGACTACAAGATCTCCAAAGTCTCTTCCAGCTCTATTCTAATTGAGTATTGATTGAACAGAACAAAACAAAGAGTTGCTTTGCAAAGTGAGTTGTGTGGCATATAAATCTAATAAATAAACAAATAAAACAGGCCTCCAAGGTTTTCGGATGCTTTTTCCTACAAACTACCAGTTTTCATATTGGACTGAAATTGGAGTTTCTCAAATATCTTAAGGATTCTAAGCTTATTTACATAACTACTTGAGCCATCTCAATGCACTGCATAAAACATATGGAAATAGTAGATCTCTGTGCCCTATAAAGTGATTTCTGTTAGAATTGTAGCATGGTGATTTTTCAATGAGATAAATGGTTGTACCTATGAGACAATCTGTACATAGAGACCTAATGTTATTGTGTCTACATTACTCTTTATAACTCTCCTTATAAACAAGCTTATGGATTTCAGACACAACTCCTGGCAGAGTACACTATGCACATGGCAGGGGCCGGGTCTGGTTGCCTCACATGCATCCATACTTTTTCAGAAAACTATGTCTTATAAAACGTATTGCCCCATTAGAACTAATGTTCTATCTTTTCCTTTGTCAAATTTAGAAGGTTCATTGTTACGACACTCCTACACAAAAGAAGAAACTTTAAAATACATAAAAAACTGCACCCCATACACTTATCAAACTGTATGATTCAGTGGATTTACTATGAAACACATATTTATAAGACTGCATATTTAACTAAGGTCTTGAGTCTTGATAAATACATAAATGCCTAGTCAGTCACAGACATTTTCTGCTGCACTTTTAATGGACACAGGTTAAATTATATCCAGCTGTATTTGGACAATGACTGACAATAAAGAAGTAATCTAAATCTACTGCCTGAAAATCTTCCAGACCTAATAGCATGATGTCTTCTTTAAAAAACAAAAAACAAAAACCCTAAGCATTTTATAGTGCCATAGCTATTATTTCAAACATAATACAAACTATTCCCTCTTTATAATCAACTTAAAATTATGTACTATACAATTCTATACCTTGATAAGAAAGCCATTCTTGCACTGACCCAGACATTTTCTTATCCCAATTCAATTTTCTACAGATTTTAACTTTCCACATTTCTCTTTACTATCCCAAAGCATTTCAGCAGCAATTGTTCATTATATATGTCAATCCCTTCCTATGATTCAGGTGGTTTAATTAATAGGGATATTCAATTCTATAAATTTTATGATTATTTTCAAGATTTTTTTAAAAGTCTAAGCAGAGACTTCTTCAGAATCTTAATTTTTATACAGCTTATCTATCAAAATAGCTACCAAATGAGGAAATACTTGTTCTGATTAAAAGAAATCTAGATTTTGTCTTAGAAGTTCCCCTTTATTTCACAATAGTTTGCAGTATTTCAATGAAATTTTTAAATTTAAATAATTAAAACATTTTGGACACTTTCCTATATGTGCTTACTTGGAATTTTCAATTAGTATGAGGAGTCTTGCTTAGGTTGCAATGATATCCATACTTTCCTGAGAGCAAGTCCCAATGATATGTGGCACATTTTCTAAATAAAATAAAGATTAGTATGCTGTCTTAGTCTGAGTAACTGATTCCCATTGCCCACAAATTGTACATACAGGAAAAATAATCCTATATAAAGACAATATAAATCCTATATAAAAGCAGAAGCACCTTTAAGAAAATATGCTTACGGGTAGATGGCAGAATGCTAAAAAAACATTTTCCAGCAATAAACTTGTAAAGGAAACATCAACATGGCCTTTAATGCAAAGTCACTGCCTTAATAGAAGTTAATTCCAAAAATTTTCTCCCTTGCCATCAAGCTATAAGAACTTTGTTGCTAAATTCAGAATTCAAACTGGCATTCAATGTGTTACTTGTGACCATAGGAATTGAATCAGAAGAACCAAGAATTTCACAAGTCAATAAACCCTCCCCCACAATAAGCAGAACTGAAACAGTTTAGTAAATCCACACTCATAGATCTATACAGATTTACACACAAAGCCTCACAGTCATATCAAACCTTTTACAGAGGACATATGTTATATGCATATACCTCTATCATACCTATAAAAGGATAATGATAAGATTTGCAAGGGCACCCACAGAAATTGTTGTGGCCTGATCCACCTATATCACTAAGCCTTAAAAGTTTCATCTGGTAAATATAGTATGTCAGACTACTATGGCTTGTTCAATGAAACATGATTAAATTCTGGGTTAGTTATATGAAAATGAAACTTATCTGTCAGAAGCATACTAGTTTAACCAACTTGTAGGGATTCCCTTAGAATTGGGTGGTACACTGAGGCATTTCTAAGCTCCTCTCAAGCATGGGAAATACACTCTTGAGTTGATGCAAGACTTCTGAGGAGACCCTCTTCGCCTCCAGATTAAAGTCCAGAAAAGTTCATAGTTTTAAAAAAGAAGAAGTCAGTCAGAGCATCTCCATAGTATCTCACCCCAAACTACAGGTCCACCCCCATAACCAATACAGCCCCTTTGATCTATTTCTCAAATTACAGTATCTATACTTGTTTTCACCACTTCGTGGACAGCTCCTCCGCCAGGCCTAGGAAACGTCCACCTCTCTTGGCTGCTAGTTGGTGACTCAGAAGCTCTGCTGCCTCGTCCTTCCGACAGCAGGGCAGCCGAGGTTGCAAGAGCTCTCTGGCCACCGCGCCACTACTTCCTTCACGCCGATGCTTTTTCAAACAAGTATCATCGCCTTGCCAGCCCAGCCTCACCACTCACGCCGGCCGGGCTGGCCCTCGGGATCTTCCACCAGAGCCGCCTTGCCTCTGAAGACCACCGGGTCCTCCGCCCACTTCCCTACCTACCTACCTACCTACCAGCCAGCCGGCCGGCCAGAGCACAGCTCCGCCGGCTACCCCTTGCATCGAAGAGGCCGTGCATTGCATAAGGACCGCGGTGCCCAGACATGAGAAGGGGACGCTGGGCCAGAAAGGACCAGCCCTGGTTCAGTCCGGAGAATGCCCGGGGTTCCCTTCCCGGTCATGCCCAAACCTTTCCCCAACCGAGACCAGGTTCTCACCCTCGCGCGCCTTGAGCAGCACAGTGTTGGCCACGATATTCTCCAGCTCCATTGGGGCCAGCCAGCCCGAGGCGCCGCCGCCGCCGCCGCTGCTGTCAACCTCTTCCCACCCGACCGCTCACGTTCACCCCCCCCCCACCTCCGACCGCTTGGTCCGGCACCCAGCTACTGTACCTCCATTCTTAGCCCGCCCACTGCCTGCTCAACCCGACCAATCCCCGCGCCAGCATGGCCCGCATCGGTCCCTAAATGGCCCGAGGAACTCCCCCGCCTCCACTCTGCCCTTCTTTCTCATTGGTCACCGAAAGAAAAAAAAAAAAAGAAAGCCACATAGAAGGCATGGGCCGCAGGGTGATTGGCTGACACTGTTTCGCGAGGCGGGGGGAAGCTCTTAAAAAAAAAGGGAGCTGTCGGTCGGGTCATCATGGCAAAGACTTTGGTTGAAAGGGTTGGGCTTAACTTCTTCCCCCCAAAATGCAATTGCTTGCGAAGGTTGCTAATCAGAGAGTAACAGGTAGCTTCAGAGGTCATGAAACAATAATATCACGTATAGTTGGCCTATAGACGAATCGGAATGTCGAGTAGGTTTCAAGGCTTTTATTTTATTTTATTTTATTTAGTTTTTTTTTTTAAATTGATTTATATGCCGCCCTTCTCCGGAGACTCAGGGCGGCTTACAATGCGTTAAGCAATAGCCTTGTCAAACATGTACGAGAAAACATATATAAACATGGACATGAACATGTATAAACATGGACATGAACATGTATAAACATGGACATGAACTGAAAATTGGCTACTTGTGTAACTTAAAAAGTATCTCTATTGAGTAAGACAGAAGGAGCGAACAGCCTGATCTCAGAGATGGAAGTAAATATCTTACAAGCCCCAATCAATTTTTTGAAGAATTGCTTTAGATAGAATTGGAATGCGTGCAGACTTGCAGCTCTAATCCTTGAAGAACGAAAAAAAAAAATTAAGTCTTGAACATTTTGCTATTCAGCATTGTAGCCGCTGAGCAAATATGGATCTGATTTTGATCCATATTTTGGATTCAAATGTTGTTGCAAGTGCAGACTCACTCTTCTTCAATTATTTCCTGGCTTATTTTTTTTTTTTAAATGATTGTTCTAATGGTGTTAACGTGAAAGCTAATGGTGAATGTGTAATTATTGCATTGATACAGTAGTGTATTAAATATACCCCGATAAAGTAGTTTCTCCCTTTTTTATGTGTATGTCTTCAAGTCAGTTTTGATTCCTGGCAACTGCCCAGACTAGGAGAGAAAAAATATGCACAGTATTTATAATGGGTACACTAGCATCTATGAGGCTAATTTGAAGGGGAATTTATCTTTGTGTATGTTTATATGCATATATTATTACTGTATTATCTGTCCAAATCAATCCACTTCTAGATGAAGCTGTCTTCATTAAAATTTATCTAACATGCTAGTCCAGTGCAGGTAGATAGGTGTGTAGATAGATAGATAGATAGATAGATAGATAGATAGATAGATAGATAGATGATAGATGATAGATAGATAGATAGATAGATAGATAGATAGATAGATAGATAGATAGATAGATAGGGATAAATGATAGATAGATAGGTAGATAGACAGACAGACAGACAGACAGACAGATACACAGACAGACAGACAGACAGATAGATACACAGACAGACAGACAGACAGACAGACAGACAGACAGACAGACAGATGTATTTGTATTTACTTAAGGCTGAGAAAGAGTGTGGCCCAAAATCAGTCATCCAGCTTCTATGCCCAAGAGACTAAAACATTATCATTATACCACACTTTTCTCCATTTTTATCTTTTTAATTTCCTTGCTTTTTATATGTGTTTGCTGTTTCTGTGTTATTTTTGTTGTTGTTGTTGTCATTGTCAACTGCCCAAATAAATGCATACAGGCATATATACACCATTTTCTTACAGATGGATTTTCTTAGATCTACCTTGTTACTTAAAATAGATTATGTAGCTATGGTGTGGACATATAAATGGGAAAAGCCATTTACCTAGCCCATTCTGAAATTAAATTGATTCCCAAAGCTGGAATCTTATGCCTGCATGCCTGAAGGTAGTTTTCATTTATCTCAGTGAGATTTCTCAGAAGAGATATACAAAATTATTAGACAACCAATTTTGTCTAGTGGTTAAGACAGTGAGTTCAAGTCCCTATCTTAGCCATGAAAGCCAGCTGGGTGACCTTGGGCAGTCACACTCTCTCGGCTCAACCCTCCTCACAGGGTTATTGTTATGGAGAAAATAGGAAGGAGGAAGATACGTTGTATATATTTGCTGCCTTACATTATTTGTAAAAGTGGAAAATAAATAAATAAAATAAAAATTTAAAAATCCATTTGTGTTAATATATTCTGACAATTTTAAAGCATTGACTAGACCATTTATTTTAGCTGCAAGAAATAAAAGTTTACTGCTTTGTGTAACAAAACATGAGAATGCTAAAAATGAAGTCAAGTATGTTAATGCATATTTGTTAAATACTGTACCATGATTACCCTCTGACATAACAACAAAGATGAGATAAGTCCAGATAAGTCCAGCATTGTTGATCCAACAATTCAGTAGTTGGATATGCTTTCAGCCATTTATAGTTTCCATAGTCCAGTCAGGCTGCTGTAAGGAAAAAGGAGTACAAGGCAAAATTAAAAGAAAAAAAGATCTCAGATGATGATCCAGCAATATGGTCTTAAATTTGCAAAGTGATATATATGTGTGTGAAGGTTGCATCATACACTGTAATTAAATGCGTACCTACAAATTAGCATTAGCATTTAGTTTTATATACTGCTTCATAGTGCTTTTACAGCCCTCTCTAAGCGGTTTACAGAGTCAACATATTGCCCCCAACAAACTGGGTCCTCATTTTACTTGGAAGGATGGAAGGCTGAATCAACCTTGAGCCTGGTGAGATTTGAACTGCTGAACTGCAGCTAGTAGTCAGCTGAAGTAGCCTGCAGTGCTGCACTCTAACCACTGCGCTCCCTCAGCTCAAATGGTTTCAAATCTAAGAAAAATAGGTATATTCAATAACCGCAACATGTCCCTGTATCTAGGAGCAATGCCAGCCCTAGAAGCTCTTGTAAGCTAAAAATGATATGTGTAATACCGCCTGTGAAAGGCTTGCCAATTCATGGGTCAGTTTTATCCTACATCTCAAAATTCTCATATTATCCAAACTGAGACTTAAACCCTAATCATTTTGGGGCAGTAAATTCGAGTGAATTTAATATTGTTAATTTTTTACTCTGTGTGGCTGCAAAATTTTAGAACATAGCACTCGCTATGTGGTTGTACTTAAGAGCAAAATAAATAAATATATTTCTAGCCAAGAAATTTCTCTTGGCCCTGAAAAGAGAATTCTGATTGCCGTTTGAACAACATATTAGATGATGTGGCTGAACAATTTGTACTACTGCTTAGGTTAATTGCTCAACAAGGCAGTTGCTGTACTGGCAATTGGCACAACTGTCAATGTATATGGCAATTAGGGAACAATATCCTTGTTTCTAAAGTCGTGGCTTGAGCAATTCCTGTGCCCCGTGACAGGGTGTATTATAGAAATGGAAGATTTTTTTAAAAAGTGAAGCCCAGGTACCAGCTATTATCAAAAAATCTGAATCTAACCTTCATGTGTGCACTTTTTTTTTTTTTTTTTGCTTTAATTTATATGCTGCCCTTCTCCAGAGACTCAGGGCAGCTTACAATGCGTTAAGCAATAGCCTTCATACTTTTGTATATTTATACAAAGTCAGCTTATTGCCCCCACAATCTGGGTCCTCATTTCACCTACCTTTGAAAGGATGGAAGGCTGAGTCAACCTTGAGCCTGGTGAGATTTGAACTTGCAGTAATTGCAAGCAGCAGATGTTAATCTGTTAATAACAGTGCTTTAGTCCACTGTACTACAGGCTCTTATGGACTTTTGGATAGAGAAAAGAGATGAACTGTTCAGTTAATAGTAAAGAAGCAAACCAATTTTTAAAAAACTGTCAGACAACATTCTTAATATTTTTAATTGATTAAACCTCACACATTGACCTCTAACAGCTTTTGCAGCATGCTATGCTAAAGGGCAGTGGCCCCCAACATTTTTGGCATCAGGGAATGGTTCTGTGGACAGGTTTTTCCGCAGACCGGAGTGAACATGGTTTTGCATGCTGCCTGCATCCCGCGGATAGGGCTTTGCTTGATTGTGTGGCCCTGTTGTTTGCGTGCTGTGGACCGGTGTCAGTCCACAGACTGGGGCTTGGGGATCCCTGCTCTAGGGGCTAGCACAGGAGTAATATTTTCTTTTGTTTGCCTTTGAGTCAGTGTTGGCCCAAGGTCACCCAACTGATTTCATATGGGACTAGAACTCATAGTTTCCTGCTTTAAATATTGCCTATAAAGTTTCCTGCTTTAAATACACCCTATAAAGTGGGCATGTAAAGAGGTGGATTGGTATCCATATTAGAGTTATAACATAATTTTGCAGTGGGCTATTATTACTGGTATCTCCCTACAGCAGATGGGATACTGTATGCAGAGAATTACTTAGAATCATTCTCGGTGTGATCCAGAATTCTTTCTGTTCCATCGTGACTATCCTGAGATTCTCCAGTTTTAATAAACTAGCTGGATAACCTTGGGCCAGTCACCCACTCTCAGCCCTAGGAAAGAAGTAAGAGCACATAATTTCCAAAATAGCTTGCCAAGGAAACTGCAGAGATTGACTCAACATTGACTCTAAGGTGCGTGCGCGCACATACACACACACTTGAAAAGTAGGCTAAAGCAACATATAAAAATCTGAAATCACATCATAAAACTAAATAAACAAATAAAAAGAAATCAATGCCAATAACAAATGGCACACATCAGGGAAGTTAGAAATGTGATTAAAATATAACACAACCAATTTGGATTCACAGATTGCTCTGCCTCAGAGCCTGCCCATGTATTCAGAACTTTCTTTAAAATAGTATAGGTATATAGGAGGTATAGACCAGCTCCAGTTGTCTGTCATTGTGAAAGGCCCCGTGATACAGAACAGAAAGAGAAGGACAGAAGGACATGGTAGTTCTCCCCAGTTTCTTCTCT